TCTAGAGATTAGATTAGAGTCTTGACTCTCACATCTACTATGGTGGAGACACTGGGCAGGTAAGTCACTTTTGTCCATTTTACAGATCAGAATACTGAGGCTCGAGAGAGTTAACAGCTATACTACCTATGTCACAGGGCTTTCGTAAGGAAAATAGGTTACCACCCTTAAAGCACTGTATAAACCATTTTTATAAGAGAAAAAAGGGACATGCCAAAAGGAATATTAGGGGTCATCTAGTCCAACCCATTCATTTTATGGATGAAAAAGCTGAGACCCAGAGAAGTGAGTTGCCCAAAGTCAAAGAACTGGTTTAGGAAGCATTTCAGCTAGAACCCCAGTCTACTAACTTAGTCCAGTGCATTTTCCTTTACATCCTATTCTCTCATACGCTTCTGATATAGATCGAGAAGGGAGCTCAGAATCCAGTAAGTCCAGCCTGCTCTTTTTACAGAAAGGAAATAGATTACGGTGCTCTCAGGTGATTTGTCCAAGGTCGCAAAAACAGGCAAATGGCAGGCAGGGCTGGGATTTGAATCTAGTTTCTCGGACTCTCAATCTAGGTCTCTTTCCATTGCAAATCAGAAACTTCTCAGATCAGCAGTTAGGGCAATGTCTTTGTTAAGTAGGGATCAAATTTTATGTGGCCCATTTAGTTGACCAAAACAGTAGTTTGACCTAATAGATTTGCTAGCTTGGAAAAATAATAACAGCTGGCATTTATATAGTGCTTCAGAAATATTATCTCATTTATCTTCAGAAAAACTCTGGGAGGAAGGTGCTACTATTACCCCCACTTTACAGATGAGCAACCAAGGTAGACAGAGGCTAAGTGACTTGCCCAAGGTTACATAATAAGTATCCAAGGTAGGATTCAAACTCAGGTCTTCCTAGCTCCAGGTTCAACTCTCTACTCACTGCCCCATCTAGCTGCCTCTAGATACCAGGAAGGTCAAGATTCAATCAATCAAGGATTTATTAAGCACCTACTATATGCCAGGCAGGATGCCAGTTTCCTCTGACACTAGCTATGTAACCCCAGCTAAGCAAGTCACTTGTCCTGTTTTGTCTCAGATGATTCCCAAAGACTGTTGTGGCTCTCCATCAGGCAGGGGCAGTTCCCTACCCTGAAGAAATCAATCTCACATTCCTATATTTGTTTGCCCATTTATATAAGCTTCTAATCCAAGGATGGGGAACGTGCAGCCTCGAGGCTACATGTAGCCCTTTAGGTCCTCAAGTGTAGCCCCTTTGACTGAATGCAAACTTCAATAATTTGTTCTATGAAGTTTAGATTCAGTCAAAGGGCTGCACTTGAGGACCTAGAGGGCCACATGTAGCCTCGAGGCTGCAGGTTCCCCACCCCTGTTCTAGTCTAAAGTAGGTAGATGATAATGGCTGGACTGATTATCAGTCTCTGGGCACAGGTATTTTGCTCAAAGACATGTGGAATATATGTTACAAAATACGCTTTCATTAAAAGAAAAGGAACAACAAAGAATTATGTCTGCTTCATTGGGAGAGTCCTCATTTTGTTGAAAAAGTTAACAGATAAAGTGTACCACTGAGGCAAGAAAGCCAAAGCCATATGATGAGAAGACAGCAGACTGGGGTGGGGAGAAAGGAGACAAGTGAGGAAACGCTGGTAACTTTACCCAGTGACATGTGAAATGCCAAGCTCTTATCCTCTGGTGTCTTACTTTTCTAGGTTCCAATTCATTCAACAAATTGTTTGGTAGACATCTGTGTATTTGTGCTCTGCTTCTTATCTCTCCAAATCTAGACCATCATTTTTTTACCTTCCTATTTCCAGCACTTAGCTGTGCCCCATCCCCATCCCCCACAGTAGATACTTAATAAGTGTTTATTGCAATGAACTGAAAACAAAATACATTAAGATTAAATGACTCCAAGCTATCCTAAAAGGTGGGCCTGACTAGTCATCTGTTAGCCAATTCATAGCAGAGCTGGGGTTCATAAACATGAATTTCCCATAGTGCATTTATGCCGCCTGTTGACTAAGGTTAGATATCTCCTTATCCATGGTCATTCCAAGCACCTATAATAACTAGGATAAAAATGAGCACATTTGTTCTCACAAGAGTATGCCACTCGATGGGGGAAGGTGAGAGGGCATGAGTAAACCTTATTCTCATTGGATTTGGCTTAAGGAGGGAATACCACACATAGTCAATTGGGTATGGAAATCTATCTTACCATACAGGGAAATAGGGGGGAAGGGGATAAGACAACAGAGAGGTGGGGGAATGATGAAGGGGAGGGCAGATTGGGGAGGGGTAATCAGAAGCAAACACTTCTGAGGAGGGACAGGGTCAAAAAAGAGAATAGAATAAATGAGGGGTGGAATAGGATGAAGGGAAATATACATAGTTTTCCACAACATGACTACTAGGGAAGTGTTTTGCATGACTACACATGTACAACCTGTATCAAGTTGCTTGCCTTCTCAATAAGGGTGGGTGGGGAGGGAGAAAGGGAGAAAATTCAGAACCCAAAGTTTTAAAAACAAATGTTAAAAATCATTTTCACATGCAACTGGGAAATAAGATATATACAGGTAATGGGGTATAGAAATGTATCCTGCCCTACAGGAAAATAGAAGGGAAGGGGATAAGAGAAGGCAGGGCATATAGAAGGGAGGACAGATTAGGGGAAGGGATATTTAGAATACATGCCATCTTGGGGTGGGGGGAAGGACGAGATGGGGAGAAAATTTGGAACTCAAAATCTTATGGAAGTGAATATTAAAAACTAAAAATTAATAAATTATTTTAAAAATATTTTTAAAAAGAGTATGCCACTTGAGAGGCTATGTTATGGTATAGTAATTACTGCCATCAGGAATCTTGAAGTGGGCATTTAATGCTGGATTTCTATTGCACATCTGTAGTAGCCATTTAATCTTATGATGCTCTGTGACTTTGAAAATAGCAATAAATATTACACTCTAAATGCTATGTTTCTTTGTCAATGAATAATTATTATTACTATTCTGTTTTACTAGAACCGCTATTCCATCACTGTTGGAGAGCTCCCAGAGAAGGACTCTTTCTACCAATGCAGATCAAGCACCTTTTCAGTAACTTACAGTCTGAGAGAGTTAAATGACTTGCCACACAGCCAGAATGTAGCATAAGCGGAATTTGAATCCATTTCTTTGTGACTCTGAGAGCAACTTTGAGTCCACTTCATCAGTGTTGAAAATCAAACAGAAAGGGGGGGGGTGTCACTAACCTGGACATAAGGATCTTAGCAGGCCACATATTGACTTAGTTTTAGAATGTGATGTTATCTACATTTTACTGTATATTTGTTTTAAAAAATATTTCTCAATTACATTTTCATCTGGTTCTGGGTCCATACTTAGGAGGCTACATGTTTGACACTTCTGCATTACACCATGCTCCTAGATCACACAATAAGTATCATATAATAAAAAGTCCACTTCATATATAATAAATATGATTTCTGTCTTCATGGGCTTCTTATCATTTCTAGTGTAAAACACAAATGTCTCAGCCTGACATTTAAAGCCTTCTCCAGTCTAGATTCCCATATACCTTTCCATTAGATTGTAAGCTCCTTGAGGGCAGGGACCAACTTTCCCCCCTTTTTGTATCCCCAGCACTTAGCACAGAGACTGGCACATAATAGGTGCTTAATAAATGTTGACCGACTTTCCAGATTGATTTCATTTTATTCTACCTCACAAACTCTAACTTCTAACCCAACAAGTCCACTCGTTTTATTCCCTGACCTTGAACTTACATCTTTCCTCTCTAAGCCTTTGTAAAGGCTGATCCCACATGCCTAGAATGAATTCCCTTTCTTTACCTCTGTCTCTTAAAAACAGCCCTACATTCCTTCAAGGCTCAGCTCTGGTGACCACCCCCTGGATCGGAAGCCTCTCTCAGTCCCCTAGGCTGGTAGTTAGCTGTCTTTTTTTATTATAGCCACTCCCTTCCTGAGAATTTAAGCTTTCTGCGGGCAGGGCCTGCCCCACTTTTGTCTTTGTGCCTCAGCTGCATTGGGACATAGCAGGCCCTAAACAGAATGAACATCTGGTGAATTAATTGGGATAAGAGCAGGTCTGGACCAGCTGTTAATGGGACACAGGCCTTCATTTCTCCAATTGTAAGCTCCTTGGAAGCAAGGACTGGCTGGTTTTTCATCTTTGTATTTATTCCTACTTCCTAGCATCAAGCCATGCATACAGCAGGTGCTTAATAAAAAGATTTTTTTTCAAGTTTGTAGGAACTTCAATATCTGAAAAGGAATCCCTACTACAGTATACCTGACAAGTGTTGCCCTATCTCAGCTGAAAAGCTTCCAATGAAGGGGAACTCACTACTGTCCAAGGTGGCCCATTCCACTTTCAGACAGCTCTAACAGGCCTTTTTTCCTGACAGTCAAACTCTTTGAGTCTTCCATTTGTTGCTGGAGGCAAGAGGGACAAATCTGTAGGAAGCTGAGTGGCATAGTGGATAGAATGGTGGATTTGGAGTCAGGAAGACCTGCATTCGAATCCTGATTCAGGTTACTATTACTTGTCCCTGAGGAAGTCATTGAATCTCACTCAGCCTCATCTATAAAATGGGGATGATAACAGCCCTTACCTCCCAGGATCACATGAGATAGCATACACAGAGGGCCTTGTAATTGGAGAAAGGATGCTATCTGCTCTGCATCAAATTGACAGCACAAGCAGACGCGCTATATCACCCAAGTGAAATTCACCAGACATTCATTTTTTACATGCTGACTATGTGCCTTAAAGCACTACAGAAAAACTAGCCATTAATATGAATTCCTCTTTGTCATGCAAACTGTAAAGCATGATATAAATATCAGGAATTATTATTGTTGTTGTTACTGTGATCTGCTGGTCTCGTGCCACTGGAGAAATGTTAAAGCGGCCCGTGGCTAACAACAAATGGGGGATCATATTCTATCGAGAACAAATTCTTGGTTATACATACCACGGCTGTCTTCGTCTTGTGCATTTGGTGATGCAGAGATAGTAACCAAGTAATCCAGTGATAACCAGGAACACTCCAGCTGCAATTAGTCCAGTCAGGAGTCCCATAACATCGATCTTCTCTCTCTCACCATCTTAAGGGAAATTTATTCAATCACCTTTTGTCAATATCCCTATAGCAACTGCAGAGCATGTCTATAATCTTGAATTTCTCGTGACCCTAAGCACGGGCCTGCACTCTATATATTATGAAAAATTATGTCAGCACCAAGCACAGTGCCTTGCATATAGCAGATGTTTATGAAAAATATCCTCATTTGATCTTCAAAACAACCTTGTAAGTTGGTCCTATTATTTTCCCCATTTTTACAGAGGAAGAAACTGACGCAGGAAAAGTGACTTGCTCAGTGTCACATAGCTAGTAAATGTCAGAAGCAGGATTTGAACTCAGGTCTTTTTGAAGGTAGGCAGCTAAGCGGTATAGTGGATAGAGTGCTGGACCTGGAGAATCAGGAAGACCTAAGTTGAAATCCTGCCTCAGGGTCACTTACTACCTGTGTGACCCTGAGCAAATCAATTAACATTTGCTGCCTCAGTTTCTTCATCTGTAAAAATAGAGAGAACATCACCCATCTCCCAGGGTTGTTGTTCAGTCATGTATGATTCTTTGCGACCCCATTTAGGGTTTTCTTGGCAAAGATACTGGAGTGGTTCACCCTTTCTTTCTCTAGCTCATTTTACAGTCAAGCAAACTGAGGCAAACAGGGTTAAGTGACTTGTCCAGGGTCACACAGATAGTAAGGATCAGAGGCTGGTTTGAATGTTATTGTGAGGATCAAAGTAAGATAATATTTATAAAGTGTTTTGCAAATCTTAAAGTGCTATAAATATGCTATTAATGTTATTAAAAATATGTTGAAGGCAAATATATCTATCTACTAGGTCTGGTTACTAGCATAATACTTAAATTATTTTAAAATGGTATCTTCAGAGCCCCAGATATCAATGATATATCTTTTTTTTTTTTAATTTTGTTTTGCCTTTTTGGTCTAGGATTTCATTGATACAGGAGCTGTTCCACTGGTGAAGAAACTTTCTCTTCCCATGCAGACTGGTAGCCATTCTGCAACTTACATATTAATAATATGTGATCCAAAGAAGAAAAAAAACCATAGAAACAACATCTCCCTGCTCAGTTTCACTGGGTAGCAAGGACTTGGGTAAATGTGATCATCCCCTCTGGGGTGGGGCCACCGTAACAGAGTCCGCAAGGCATCTGGGGCCCTATCTAGGGGGACTGAAAGAAAAACCTGGCAGGAACAACAGCTGGAGATAATCAGCTGAGATAAGAAAGAGGATCACTTTCTCTGAAAGGTTCTAAACTCAGCCTAACAATCTTACTTTATCCAGCTTGTTGGCATGCAGTAGTTAAAAAAAAATTAAAATATTTAGCCACTTGACTCTGGCTAAGAGTATTCAACTTGCACTAATACAAGTCTAGTCGTTGCCTATTTCCCTTCCTAGTCTTCTAGAGTCACTTAGAAACATGGTGCCAGCCGGGAGGAAGTCTATTATCTCACCAAACTTGTTTTCAATACCTGGGTATTGGAGTTTTACCTCCATTTGTCTCAGCTATCTGGGTACGTAATTGGCAAGTCTACTGTAGACTTAAAAGCGCTGAGCAACAAGCAAACTGAATGTATGGATCACTAGTCACAAAACTGGTTTATTATGAGGAGAGAAAGGAGAGAAATGAATGCTATTTAATTAGTTCTCGACTCACCTGATCTTCTGCTCGGTCCTCGAACTGAATAATCCTGCCAAAATGCCATCTGTAAAAGTAAGTCAAAGTTTAGTGAGGGAGGTGTTTGCTAATGATTTTATTTAGTGCTGTCTAGCATTCTCACTAGTCATGGAGAAAGACAGGGTACAAGAAACTAAGGGCTGCTAACCGCAGGGTATACCCCTCAAAGGCCACTGTTTGGCCCTGGTTTAGTCATAATGGTGACTGACGGCCAGGTGGGAGCTGCCCCTGTTATCCTCTGCTGCCCTTCTCTTATTCACCCTTGACTCCAACTTGTGTGAATAAGTGCTGACCAACATAATTAATTCAAAGGCATTTGTTAAGCACCTACTATACGTTGGGCACTGTGCCAGGTGCCGTGGATAAAAAAACCAAAATGAAACAGACTGCCCTCAAGGAGTTTCTGTACCTTGGTGGGAGATATCATGTACCCAGATAAGTTTATACAGGACAAATCCAAAATAAATAGGAAGTAATTGGGGGAGAAGTGCACACCAGCAGCTGGGGAAAAATGAGAGAGGCTAGTTCTTGAGTTTTTGAGGAAATAGATTCTAAGAGAAGGTGAAGACAGAGTCTATTTCAAGCGCAAGGGAGAGCCAGGGCAAAGACACAGAGATGGAAAATGGACGAGTATGAGGGAATGGAAGTAATGTACAATAAGGGTGGAAAAGGAAGGTTGGGACCAGGTTAAAATGCTTTAAAAGACAAAGAGGAATTTATAGTTGATCTTAAAGGCAATAAAGAACCAATGGTGTTCATTGAGTCAGAGAGTGACACAGTTATGCATGAATTTTAGGGGCAAAACCATTTTAATGGCATTTATGTATTGGTATAGGGAGAGACTTGAAGCAAGGAGGCAGTAAGTACCTAGGTCAGGGGTGGGGAACCTGCAACCTGGAAGCCACATGTGGTTCCCCACCCCTGACCTAGTGACTGGAGCAGAGGTTATATGCTATTCTAATCCAAGGTGCTGAAAGAGATGGAATGACCCACAAAAGATGGTCTACACCTAATCAAGGCTACTTTGCTCTAGGTGTTTGCAATTGCACAGAAGCCATCAGAACCTCAGGGTCAATCAAGAAAGGTATACCTTAAAGGCATTCCTAATATCATTATTATTTGGAAGGAAGGACGTGGACTTCAAATGACCAGGACAAAATTAGAAAAGATGGTATGAGTGAAGAATACAACTTTGTGTTCCCAAACAGGCTACAAATACTAAGTGATGGCGGTGAAGTACAATGATGGCAGACAGAGAGCTAAGGGTCCTTGATTTCCATATATGCACAAGAATATTTAGAGAGGCTCCTAACTCATTCATGATAAAAACAGAATCACATGAGGCAAAATTATTTATGGTGATGTAAGTAATAAGAGGCATAAGGGGATGTCCACTCACTTCTAGGAAATCTTTATAACTAGCATCACAAGTCAACACATGGCTAAAGTAGAGATGTGCCTCAGTCAGGAGACTAGGGGAAGGGAAGAGCCTTTATATAGTCCTACTATGTGCTAGGCACTGTGCTAAGTTCTTCACAAATATTTGATCCTCATGACAACCCTGGGAGGTAGGTGCTTTTATTATTCCCACTTAATAGTTGAAGAAACTGAGTCAGACAGAAGTTAAGTGACTTGCCAGGGTCACATAGCTAGTAAGTGTCTGAGCTCAGATTTGAACTCAGGACTTCCTGATTCCAAGCCAAGGTGCTCTATCCACTTTGACACCTATGTGCTTCAACTAGACCAAGTTATCTCCTGAAGTTTTTTTCAACTTTCTATTCCATAATTGTCCTTAAGTAAAAGAAATGTTAAAACCACCTAAACAGATGAGTCAATACTTTGGTAATTAGTATAGACCCAGTACCTAAAAATATGAGGCAACACTGAGTTGATGGTTTAAAACGATTTTAAGACTTAGGATAAGAATGTACACAATTTCCAAAGAAAAGAGACTTTCCTATTGAATAAGAACTTAATGCTTCCAACCAGTTCATGAAACCAGTACCTTACCGTCTTGTCTTCATCCCCAAAGATCTCCCTAGCTTCTTCATAGTTGCACATTTCCTCATAACACTCTCTTTCCAGATCTCCAGGAGTGAAGAGTTCCAAGTCAAATCTATTGTGGAGGAGACGTCTATGGATGAAGACACTGGCTTCTTCTTTTGATGTAAAGACTACTGAAGCAACAAAAGACTATTTAAAATCAACTAAGAACAAATCCCCTCCCTTCAAAAAACAAGTTAACATTGGTGTTACAGTTATTATTATTTCCCTTTTACAGACAGAGAAGCTAAGGCTCAGAGCAGTTCAGTGACTTACTTGCCCGTGGTCATAGAGCTTTTGTTTCGCACTGGGGAAAAACATTTCTGTTGTAGCTAAATGGTATCTAACTTCTGACAAAAGGAAATTGCTGTAGTAAAATATTTTCTGCCAAAAAGCTAAAATACTAATAATTTGAAGAACATCCATTGTATCTGAAGGAAGGGTATACATTGGAATTTGCTCAGTAGATAGAGGTCCCTCCTATGCCCCCAAATACACACAAACTTTGCTAACTGTGGAATGCTGGGGCTAGCTCATAAAGATGAAAGCTCATTGTTAAATTTTCATTGTGAACATTTACACCTCAGAAATCAGGAAATGCTATAAATCAAGACTTCATCCATTTTTAAAAATTGTCTACTTAAGAAAGTAATGGAGTAAACATTAACAATGCAGATAAACTTAAAAGTATTTTATCCATAATTTTCTTCTTCTTTCTTTCTTTCTTTCTTTCTTTCTTTCTTTCTTTCTTTCTTTCTTTCTTTCTTTCTTTTTCTTTCTTTCTTTCTTTCTTTCTTTCTTTCTTTCTTTCTTTCTTTCTTTCTTTCTTTCTTTTTCTTTTCTTTTTTTTTTTTGAGAGCCAGTTGGTAAACATCTACCTGTACAACTCTGGTCATTAGTATGAAACAGAAAGTTGTTTTAAAGACATAGTCTTTGTTTTTAGATGCTTATTTAATTAAACAAACCCAAGGGGGTTTGAAGTCCACACGTAAGGTCTTTTCTTGACTGAGAACTGAGTTAGACTGTGGCATGATAAAAGATCATTAAAATGAGAGTCCAGAGATCTGGGATCTGCAGCCAATCCAACCATGTGATCTTCGGAAACTCACTGTCTCCTTGGGTCTCAATTTCCTTGTCTGTAAGTTTGAGAGGATCAGACAAGAAGGTCCTTAAGGTCTCTTCCAATTCAAAACTTCAATAATTATTACAGGAAATTCCAACCCCTCTTTCTACTTACAAAGGGATGATGTTTCCATATTACTCACTTTCTCCATGAATCTTCATTGTGATGGTATTGACAAATACCATACATAGGGCTAGTAATAGTCATACTTAAGTTTTCATAAATGCTCTCTCCCACTAGGAAGCAGAATGGTAGAGTGGAGAGAGGGCTAGGCTATGAGCTGGGAAGACCTGGATTCAAATTCTGCCTCTTAACAGTTTCCCAAAAGTCTTTATGAAGCTTTAGGTTTTAATAGTTTAAATGGGACTTAGTAGCTTTGTGACCATGTAACCTCTATAACGTGTATAAGGTAACTCCTTAGGACTAATCCACTGAAATTTCCACATCAGACATCCTTCCCCAGTTCCATACAACCATCTTATGAGGTAGGTAAAGCAGGTAATACTATCCTTATTTTTACGGTTGAGGAAACTGAGGCATAGAGTGGCTAAATGACTTGACCATGGGCAAAGATTTAGTATCTAGTAACAGTAATAGAACTTAGCTCTTCTAACTCTTAAGACCCAATACTCTTCTTTTCTTTTTTAAAGTTTTTACATAATTTATAAATGCTTTGATGAAAATTTATTATCTTCACAGATAAACATCATCCCTAGTGCCTTTTATTCCTTCTTTTTGCCAGCACCTACAGTACCCCTGACTTTCTTCATTCTGTTCTCATGTTCCTTTTGCTGCTTTCTTAATGTCTTTTTCTTCTCATACAGGCCATGCCTTGCAAGTCTGTGCTTTGGTTCATCTTTCTTTGCACTGTCAAGAGAATCATAAATCATTCCAAAGCCTGTTGTTTGCAACCACCAAAATGGGCTTGAAGCCAAAGACAAAAATGACGCCTGGAGTCATCTTGTACATCTTGGCCAGTTTTTCCTCAAATTTCAGTCTCGGACACTGTGGCCTTTCTGGGATGAAGGACATCTATAACCATCTGTTTATGCTAAAGAAGTCTGTTTGTCACGAACTTCTTTGTTCTGATGGTTAGAGGGTCATTCATGATGGCGCAGGCTCCTTCAGCAGCAGCAGAGGCTATTCTTCCTTTTCTCTTTAAAATTTTTATCGATTTTTTTTGTTTTCACATAACTTTTATCTCTGAATATGCCCCTCACTACCCAGAAAGCTATCAAAGAACAAAATCAAAAGAATAAAAAATAAAGGAAAAAAAAATTCAGTTCAACAGAACTGATCAACAGATGAGCTGTGCGATACCAAGTGACACACTCAAACCCCTGCCTCTGTAAGCAAGGGAGTGAGATGCATTTTCTCATCTCTTCTCAGGTTCCAGGCTTAGACCAGAGCCGTTTGCATTACACCAATCAACCTCTCATATATGCATCTACATTTTTATAGGCATGCTGGCTGAAGTACAAAACGAGGCTCTATTACTAGTTAATAGTGAGGACCCATGATTTTGTCAGTACAAATACTCCCCCTACTGGTGCCCATCACATCTCTTCCCCTAAGGAAATGGTTTTTCTGAGCTGTGGCCAATCTTCTAGTCAGGAACCTCTTCAAAATTATCCGGGAGTCTGATTGAGAGGATGAGAGTCATACAGTCCATCACAGAGAGCCCCGTATGGCAGAGAATAACAGCTATCATTTAGAGAAAGCGTTAATGCTGGCAAAACCTTCACACGTATTATTTCATTTGAGCTACACAACAACACTGTGGGGGGGTACTGTGTGCCCATTTTACAGATGAGGAAACTGAGGCTCATACAGGTAAAGTGGTCTGCCCATAGCCATAAAGTTAGTGAGTGTCAAGAGGTAGTTTGGGGCCCGGTCTTTCTTGGCTCCTGGTCCAGTACTCTATCCATAATGATACTTTTCTTTTTTTTTAGGCAATTGGGGTTAAGTGACTTGCCCAGGGTCACACAGCTAGTAAGTGTCAAGTGTTTGGTCTGAGGCTGGATTTGAACTCAGGTCCTCCTGACTTCAGGGCCAGTGCTCTATCTACTGCACCACTTAGCTGCCCCCCCCAACTGTTTTTTTTGTTGTTGTTGTTGGTAGACAAAGTTGAGTTGCTCCAGATTAGGAAACCAGTGACAGTGAAAGGACCAGAAGAGCGGAATATTCAGGAAATAGGATGTTTAAAAGGGTCTTCTTGTTAACTTTTCCTAAACAACAATGTAGAGTGGAAGGCAGCTAAGGCTAGAATAGAGCACTGGGTATTGGTTACCTGACTTCTTCTGTTCTGGCATCAGGAAGAACTGGGTTCAAATTCTACCTTAGACAGAGTCACTTAACCTTTGGGAGCCTCAGTGTCCTGATTTGTAAAACAAGGATGAATGCCACTACCTATAGCATATACCTCACAGGGTTATTATGATATTCTGATGAAATAATGTAAGTAAAGCATTCCTAAATTTTAGAAGAATATGTAAATGTCAATCATTGTTACTCCTTTTATCCCTCTTAGGGGTCTGTAAAGGAATACAATAATTTTTTTTTTGTTTAAACCTTCAGTCTACCCATTTTGAGCTTCGGATTGAAACAGAGCTAATTTGAAGGCAACCTCCCCGACCAACTCAACTAGTAATGCCTCTACCTTCTCCTAAGACATTTTTTTAACCTCTCTGGCCTCGAGGTAGCAAGGTGGCAAAATGGTTAGAGTACTGGAGCTGGAGTCAGGAAGAACTCAGTCCAAATCCAGCCTTAGACTCTTACCAGCTGTGTGACCCTGGACAAGTCACTTAATCTCCGTTCACCTCATTTCCCTCAACTGTAAAAAGAGAACAGTATTTACCCCACAGGGTTCTCATGAGGATCAGTGAGATAATATACGTAAAGTGCTATTCAACTATTGTTCAATTGTGTCCTGTGGACCATACTGTCCATGGGGTTTTCTTGGCAAAGATACTGGAGTGGTTTGCCATTTCCTTCTCCAGTGGATTAAGGCAAACAGAGGGTAAGGGTCACATAACTAGTAAGTATCTGATGCTGAATTTGAACTCAGGTCCTCCTGACTCCAGACCCAGAGTTCTATCCTCTGAGCCACCTAGCTGCCTCATTTAACTACTAGCTATTATTAATAGTATGACCCTAGCACCAGACTTTTGATCCCCTAATGAGAATTCCCTCCCTACTCAGTTTACTTTTACACTACCTTAGGCTGTTACATAGTCAGCTTTGTCCCCAAGCCCTACACTGCAAATGCATAATTTGGGATCCTCCAGTCCTTTCTTTCATGTCTGCCCGTCCCTTCTAGCAAACTCCATTCAATTCTTCCCCATGCTTTGGCACAGAGCAGGTACTTAATAAATGCTTGCTGATTGATTGGCTGATTAACAACTCCACACCCCCAGGATCATATTTCCTTTCTTCCCCCCACCCTCACCCCTGACCCAACTAAGGCTTCCCTTTCCTCGGTCATATTTCCCTTTACAATATCACCATTCAAGGATTAATATCACATCTTCAGGGATCCCTCCTTTGGTATGTGGGGAAGAGAGTGGGGAGCTCAGCCTTAAATTCGTAAGGAGAAGGTATTTTCCTACACTGGCAATAGGTGGGGTTGGTCAACTTTATGCATAAGGCATATGCATAGGCAGCCGCCTATAGGCGTACCTTATGAGTATGATCTCTAGCAGTACCGGGGAAACTTCCCACTCTGATACCTGAAATGACATTCCTGTGAGATAAGGCATCTTCCCCAGTTAAAATGGAGATGGCCCTGGAAAGGGTAATATACTGAACTACTCTTTGAAGGAGCCATACTTTCATTGGTGTGGGAGCTAGAAGGATCCACAGAAGTCATGGAGTTCAATCTCATTTTACAGTTGAGGAAATGAAAGTCCAAAGTGACCCACCCCAGGTCACATAGGCAGTGTCAGAGGAAGGAGATGAACAAAGGTCCTTTGCCAGTGTTCTTCCCAATACATCTCCCAACTCCTTCATCTCTGTAGATAGCTCACGTGTTGCTGTAATCAAAAGAATACATCCCTTGGCACTACGCCTCTCAGAATTTAGCTAGGCTGAGTCCCAAATAAAAGACAGAATTCCACCTCCATGCCTCTGCTCAACATCTTTCCAGCTTGGTCAGGAGGTCCTCTGGAGCTTATGTTCTCTGGCAGAACCTTATCAGTCATTAAAAAGTGTGGTTTCATTCAATGGATTCTTTCCAACTGATGGCTAGCTAAGAACAAGTTTAGCTGGAGGAATGGGGGAAAGAAGGAAGAGATAGGTCCTGAACCTAGGCACTACCCAAAGAGGACAGGATTAGGTGGGAGACTGCAAGGCTCCAGACAAACTTTGTCTACTTCTCAATTTTACCTAGGTTCAATCTCCATTCAGGGCATCCATCAGAGGTTTAAATATCAGATGCTCCTAGGGACCTAGAACTTATGTCAGACTTTTGAGTTATTGATCTTTTAACTTAGCTTTCTTCTCCACTCTCCACCTGTACCAGAGTAACCATATCATTTTAGACCTGGAAGAATGTCTTGGAGATCTTGCCTGATGCTTGAGTCTTACAGATGCCAAAGCTGAAGGATGGAATGGTAAAGGGGTGTGTGTGTGTGTGTGTGTGTGTGTGTGTGTGTGTGTGTGTGTGTGTGTGTCCCAAAGGTCATGTACCTAAATAGTTGCCATTTATACTGCAAGCCTCTATAAAATGAGAGGATTGGGCATAATAGCCTCACAAGCTCCTTCCAGCTCTGGATCCCCTTGAGGGCAGGAACCTTGCCTCCCTCAGTATCTTCCTTAACCCCCACACTGTGTTCTACACACAGGAGATACTTAACATATGTTTGCTGATTTATTAAGACAGGCCCTGACTAGAACCCAGATGTCCTAATTTTCCATGCAACAATTTGCAATTCTTCTAAAACAAGAACTGTTAGTTATACTTCCTGACTCCAGACATTTTCACTGGCTCTCCCCTGTCTGCTAAGCCTGGAATGCTCTCCCCTCCTCATTTTCTGTAAGAAGCTTCCCTCCACCCTCCCTGTTTAGGGGGAGGGAAGTTAGGCTCCCCTCCCCCATTTAACCTGTACATATCTAGTTTGTACCTGGCTGTTTGTATGTTTTCTCCCCAACGAGGAGTCTTTTCCCTTCTTTTGTCTCCTCATTGCTCAGCAGATTGCTTGGAACATAGTAGGCACTTACAAATATTTATTAACTGACACATGATGATTACCATGTAGATGTGACTCAAAGAAATGTCACAAACCTATCTGCAATAGTTGGGCAGACTTCGTATTTTATTAATCACAAATGCTCACCAGGATTTAAATGTGCACTTATCATATTAAAATCCATGGAGAGAAGCCCTTTGATTTGAATTAAAAGATACGGTGTTGAGCTTGGAGTCAGGAAGACGTGAGCTGCGATCTTGTCTCAGACACTTCCTAGCTGTGTGACCCTGGGCAAATCAGCCTCAGTTTCCTCATCTCTAAAATGGAGACAATAGCATCTGCCTCCCTCATTTAGGACCAAAGGAGATAACATGTAAAGTGCCTTGTAAATTATAGACATTATTATTATTGCTGTATGAGTTCAAAGTGCTTCTATTGGCTGATTATTCCCCTAAACGTGACGTTTTGGTTCAAACATTAGATTTTTCACTTTGGACAGAAAAAAATAATGTAAGATGTGGCTATAACGTCAGTATGGCTTTTTTCCCCCCAAACGTAAGAGGTGATTACCGTCTTTTCCTGCATGTGTAGACTCCTGGGGTCTTCTTGGGCAATGAGGAAATGCAAAAGTAATAGCAGGCAGAGTGCTGAGCAGAACCAAAAGTTTAAACATAGTCTGGCATCTGTCGAATAAAAGACGTACATTTACAACAGCTTTTGTCACCAGCCTCCAACCAGCACTCACGGAGGCAGCGCAGAACCAGACCAGTTTTCAGGCAATCGCGGAGAAGGCTCTCAACTGGCTTTCCGCCATCCCCCACCTTTCCCCAGGGCATTCTCAGCAGACGCCAGTCCCTCTACACCCACCACAAAACCTCCAGTCACTTCCTGGGAAGCCCTAGGCACCCCCAAGGAGTGGCTGCGGGGTAACCTGTAACTGTGGGCCACGGGGCGCACCCCTCCCGGCCAAACCCAGCTCTCCCGCCGCCTCCGGAGGCAAGAGAGAAACAAGCGGTTAGAGTTCCCATCTCGGCCCCCAGCCCTACCCCTACCGCTCACTTCCCCGCTTCAAGGTGTAGAGATCGGTCCCTGCCAAGTTTCTCTCCGGAAGAACAGGTTAAAAGGTACCTTTTTTCCCCCTACAAAACCACTTCCTATGGAACCTAAAGTGCGTCCCCGGCCCAGGTGACCGAGGATCCAGTTCAATAACTCAGACTCCTCCTCCACCCAAGCATGAAAGAGGCTCCGATTTCAAACTTCGGGCCCCACCCTCAGCCCTTCCCACCGTCCGGGTTTCCGAGGCTCTATTTACAGACAGACCCTAGACAGCCCTAGTACCCATCGTCATGGCTACTTGAGCTCGAGTTCCAGAACTCATCCCCCCGCCACCACCCGCCCTCACCCAGTCGCCATCCCCCGGTTAAAGAGGTTCTGATTCCACTCCAGCCCCAAGTCCCTCCACCACCCACCCCAGATCTCTCCCCATTACCTGGGTTACTGAAGCTCCATTTACACCCCCCCCTTCAATTCCCCACTGCTCCCGCCACCATCTTTGGGATTACCGAGGCTCTTATTCAGACCCCCAGCCCCGTCCTCATCCCCAGGATTTATGGACCTCTCAATCCCAAAGCTCAGACCTCCCTCCCCCTCCTCTCCCCACCGCAGGTCTCCCGGGTTACCGAGGCTCACTTTCCAAACTCCTGGCCTTCCTCCCCGCCCGGTCCCGAGCTCCACGGTCGCGGCCCCCCACAGCCCAGCCCTGTGGTACCTGGAGCCACTGGCAGATGCTCCGGAGCCGCCGTCCGATTTCTGCCAGGTCCGGAGTGGATCCCGGGCTTCGTTGCTGGCGCCCCGCACTTCTCCTCCTCTCAAAATCAGTCCGGCCGCGGAGGCTGGGAGCCTGGGCTCCTGATCTTAGGGTCGGCCCGCTGGCAGCCGCTCCGCCGTGCTCCCCGGCGAAATCAGCTGTTACAGCTGCTGCTCCCGGACCAGACGGGCGCCCTGGCTGCGGGGCGCTAGCGGCGGGCTCACTGCGGGCTCACTGTGGCTGGGCGAGCGGGCTCCCAGGCGCTTCCTGGAGGGGGCGGAGTCCGGGGCTTTGGGGGCGAGTCCCCAGCGGTTCAGTCTCAGCAGGTGGCCCGGCCCCCTCCTGAGGCTGGAGACTGAGCCTACAGGTAAGGAGGATAGGATCCCCTGCTGCAGAGAAACTGGAGCGGAGTCGAGGCTCGCCCCATGCAATGAGCCGGGCTGGGCCACCTCCAAGTCCTTCCCTCCTGGCTGCCGCTCTGCGAGCTAGAGGGGGGCCGCACCTGGGGAGGCCTGAGCTCCAGGACACTGCTTTGCAGTTGCGGGGAAGTGGGAAGGGAGACTGTCACTTTAGACCACGCGCCCCATCTTGGCCTTGGGGACAGTCCTGGATCTGGAGCCTGTGGACTGCATTCACGTTCTGGACCTTTCGCTGCTGTAGCTTATGTGTCCTTCGACAAGTGCATGACAAATTTCTGGTCAATCAATCGAGTATTTATTAAGCCCACTGCGTGCAAGGCATTGTGCTAGGAGATCCAAGTACAAAAAAATAGAACAATCTATGCTCGCAATGGGGCGAGAACACCCACATATACATATACGTATAATAAATACAAACGCATACAAAGTAGTCGAATACAAGGTCCCTCCAAAATCTTGGTTGAATCTTAAGCTATTAAATCTTTTTTTAAAAAAAACCTCTATTAAGACTTTTATCCTCCCCTCCCCACCCGAAACGTAGTTTGAGAGTGAATGCACTAACAATTGTGGGAGTCATGCAGAAGATGAAGCCCGAGTTGCATTTTAAAAGTACTCTTTGAAGAGGAAGTAAGGAGACACTTTTCTCGACATGGGGGATGGCTAGTGCAAAGGCATTCAGCTGGGAGGTGATGTATCTTGAGGGAGGAACAGAGAGGCACACCTTGGTTGCTATCAGAGAGAGGGAGTAATATCCAGTGAGGATGGAAAGATAGATTGGGGCCAGATTGCGAAGGGTTTTAAAAGCTAAACAGAGGAGTTTATATTATATCCTAAAGGTAATAATAATAGTTATAGCATTTACTCTGTGCCAGGCACTTTACAATTAATATCTCATTTGTTCCTCACAACAACCCTGGAAGGTAGGTGCTATTATTATCCCCATTTTACAGCTGAGCAAACTGATACAAATAGTGGTTAAGTGACTTGCCCGCCTTCAAACAGCTAGTAAGTGTCTAGGCTTGGATTTGAACTCAGGTATTCCTGACTGCAAGCCAAACACTCAATCCAGTGAGCCACATGGAGTCTATTGAGTAAGGGAGAGGGATGGTCACATCTGCATTTAAGGGAAATTATTTTGTCAGTAGTATGTAGGATAGAGTCGGGGGTGGGGGTGGGGGAGACGAGACAGGGGGACCAGTCAGCAGGCTGTTGCAATAACTCAAGTGAGAGCCTGAACTAAGGTAGTACCTGTGTGAATGAAAAGAAGGTATCGAATGTGAGAGATGTGAAGCGGAAAAACAAGATACAGCAATTAAAGGGATATGTAGGATGAGAAGGAGTGAAAATTCCAGGATAATGCTGATATTGTGAACTTAAGACACTGGAAGGCTATTGTGTCTTTGACAGAAATACGGCAATCTGAAGAGAAGAAGGTTTTGGGGAAAGATAATGAATTCAGTTTTAGATATGTGGAGTTTAAGATTTCTCCAGGACATCTCCTTCAAAATGTGCAACACACAAATGGTGACATGAGGCTGAAGCCCAGAGGAGAGACTACATATAGCCTTGGTGGCATCTGCAGAGACATGACAGTTAAACCTATGGGTGCTGAGGAGGTCACTGAGAGAGTACAGAGGGAGAAGAGAAGGGATACCAGGACAGAACCTTAAGGAATACCTATAGTTCAGGGACAAGGAAAGTTTCAGAGCCACAGGATGTAGGTGATGAACCAGCAAAGGAGACTGAGAAGGAGCAGTCAGGCAGGTTGGAGACAAACCAGGAGAGAGTAGTGTCACAAAAGCCTGGAAAGAGTATCCAGGAGGAGAAGGAAGTCAATCGTGTTAAACACAGCAGACAGATTGAGAAGAATTAGAAGTGAGAATTAGAAAGCATTTAATAACTTTGGAGAGAGCAGTTTTAGTTGAGTGACAAAGTCAGAAGAAGGTAGATTGCAAAGGATGGAGAAGTAAGTGAGAGGAGAGGAAGTGAAGGCAGTGGATTGGGAGGGGGAAGGATGTTAGTTGAGAAATGGAGTGATATAGGACAACAGCTTGAGGGGATGGTAGGGTTAACTAGCTAGGTGGTCCATTAGGCCTGGAGTCAGGAAGACCCGAGTTCAAATCTAGTCTCAGATATTTCCAAGCTGTGTGACCCTGACCAAGTCACTTAATCCTTTATGCCTCAGTCTTCTCATCTGTAAAATGGGCTGGAGAAGGAACTGGCAAACCATTTGGGTATCTTTGCCAAGAAAACCCCAAAATGGGGTCATGAAGACGTAGACATGAGTGAACAACAACAACAAAGGGTTAAGTAAAGGTTTCTTTGTTTTTAAAGAATGGGGACATTTGGTCATGTTTGTAAGCAGTAGGGAAGGAATTTTGATGGGGAGCTGTTGACAGTTGGAGGGGAGCGGAATGATTGTGGAAACAGTCTTCTGGAGAAGACAGGAAGAGATGAGATTTAGTGCAAATGTAGATGAAGCAAGAATGTTGGCCTTGATGAGGAGAAGAGCCACCTATCTGTCAGAACCTGAGGGAAAGGAGAAAAAAGTGGGAGTCCAAGGATTTTCAGTGAAGAGAATGGGAAAAGAGGAATTTCATGCCAAATGGCCTGAATTTTTTTCAATAAAGTAAAAGGCAAGGTCGTCAGCTGAGCAGGAGAAAGAAAGAAGTGTGAGGGGCTTGTAGAAGGAAGGGAAAGTTTGGAATAACTTCTGTGGGGTGGAATTTCTCAAGCTCTCGGGGCATAAGGAATCAATTAGGGAGAAATAAAAGGACTGCCTCCGTGTAAGAAGGGCCCACTTACAATTGGCATGGTTGTGAGATTTCTTCCAACTTTGTTCAGCAGTTCATGAATAGCAACAAAGGATGTAAGGGGCAAGACTAATCCAGGGCCGAGGTTTGGCAGGAGACAAGCAGCTATAGTGAAAGGGGTAATGGATCCAAGAGCAGGAGAAAATGTAGAATTGAAATGGCTAACCTCCCATGGAAAGGTACGGAAATGAAGTGAGAGCCTGTGAAGGTACTACGGGGTAGAGTGAAGGGAGATCCTTGGTGAAGAGTCTGTTTAGAATAGGTTTATGCCTCCTTATGAGGCACTGGGAGAGATGGAATAATAAAAGGTTATAGTCAGGTAGAGGAAGGTCAGAACTTCTAAGTAGGTGGACCACTTGTATGTAATGGCAAGGTCGAGTGTGTGACCATCTGTAAAGTCTCTTCCAGCCTACATCCCGTAATCTTATTATTTGCTACTACCCTGCTCCCCAACTACCTTATACTTAATATGCTTGTATTTATTGTGTGTGTATATATATGTTTATATGCACATACCTCCCTATAGAATGTAAGCTCCTCAAGAGTAGAGATTGTTTCATTTTTTTTTTGGTCTTTGTCTCCCTACTACCTTAACAATACCTGGTGAAGAGTAGGTGATTAATAAATGCTTGTTGATTGATTAATTTGAAAAGGAAGGCTATCCTGAGTCAGTCAGACATTTATGGGACACTGGGGTGTCCTGTAAGCATCTTAAACTCAACCTGTCCAAAATCCAACTCATCGTCTTTTCCCTAAACCCTTGCTTTCACCTGACTTCCTTATTTCTCTCAATGGCACCACCATCCTTATGGCCAGCCAGGTTCACCAGCTGGTGGTCATCTCCTCTTCAGCTCCCTTATCCCACCCTTTCACTCCTATATCCAATCATATGAAGTCTTGTTGACTTTACCTCCACACCCTGTCTCACATCTGTCCCCTACTCTCTACTCACATAGCCATCACCTTAGTTCAGACGCTTATCCTCCCTCTCATGGACAATTGGAATAGCCTCATCATTGGTCTCCTTGTTTTTAATCTCTCCCCTTTCTCATGTACCCTCTACACTGTGTTGTACACACCCTCTACTCTACATTAATATCCCTAAAACACAGGTCTGACTTTGTCAGCTCTTGACCAAGGTTTTTTTTGTTGTTGTTCAGTTGTGTCCTACTCGTCATGATCCCATTCAGGGTTTTCTTGGCAAAGACACTGGATTGAAATGATCGGACTGGATCTGATGAGCTCTGAGATGCCTTCTACCTCTAAATCTATGATCTCATGATTTTTTGGAAGGATATGGTCAAAGGTGAGGATGGATAAGAGTTGGGCAGGCCTGGTTATATTACAGTCTACAACATTGGAAGGAGCATCCAAGTCTGTGGGATCAAAGGTTCATTTACTATGTTGTCTACCTCTGGCTTTTCTCTGCTTCCTGAGGGCAGAGACTGTTTTAATTGTATTTACAGTGTCTGGCACTCAGTAGACACTTAATAAATGCTTGTTGATTGATTGATGAGCAACTAGTATGAGGTCCCCTTCCACCATACTGGGACTTCCCCTGCAATGGTCTTCCCAAAGCCACTGTCCTGCATATCCTCCTCCCCAACTGAAGGCAAGCTTCGTGCTTCTCACCCTAGGTACAGTCTGTGGTTCTTATCCGGGCTGCGAAAGTCTCTAGTTATGGCTCTGCTGTTACTATGGTTGTGAATAAGTATTGCCACGTAAGTGACATCTAACTTTTTGTGTAAATAATGTAATTGGTAGGATTAGGAAAAATAGATCCTGGACATTGTCTAAGGTTCTGTGTCTTGACCAGGCTGAATTGAACTATATAGGAAAATGTCCAAAGCACAGTTCAGAGGAAATAGCTCTATTCTATCAAAGGTAGACATTTGAGAAACTAAACCTTGAAAGAAGAAAATTTTAAGAGGGTTGGAGACAAAGAGAAATGCAGCATTATATAAAGACAAGGATTGGGGAGAAGATGGGAAGAAGAGGGAGATGGGGAATGCTGTGAACTCTCATTTCAACAAATATGAACTTTATGATGAAATTCCTACATAACGGAGGCATCTACTCACACATTAACAAGCCACAGACAAAAATAAATAGAACTTTGTACTCAAATCAAATCAAACTATTGACTAAGAGAGGAGGGTGGGCACAGAAATAGAACTGACCAGGTTTGGAATTATGGTTTCTACGTGTTTTCATTACAATAGGGAATCCCAAAGAATACTATAGCACATGAGTCAATCAACTATTTAATCAAGCATTTATTAAGATCCTATGCTACGTACCAGGCACTGTGGTAGGTAATGGGGATACAAAGACAAATGAAATAGTCCTTGTCCTGAAGGGAGTTTGTATTCATATACAGGGAAATAACCATACCCCTCCAAATATATACAAAAATATAAATAAGTAAATGCAAGGGAGGCACTAATGCTGGGGAGGGCAGGATTGTCAGGAAAGGCCTCATGTAGGAAATGGAACCTGAGGTATGCTTTGAAGGAGGCTAGGAATTCTAACATTCAGAAGACAGAAGGGAGTATATTCCAGATGGAAGGGGCAGCCTATATGCAGGCAGGGGGATAGGAGACAAAATATTACATGTGAAGGACATCAAGTCCTTTAGTTTGTCTGAACCATAGAGTGCAGTCTCATTTTTAAAAATAGACAAAAATAATTTAAAATGATAAGAAATGCTATTGAATGATAACTGAAGTTTCTACTAACTCTCAACCTGTGAACATGTGAATCATTCCTGGTTCATAGAAAGTTAGCAGAAGACAACTAATTAGAGGGACACTCATGGTTCATGGTTGGACTGAGCCAATATGACTAGCAAATGACTAGACTATGAATTGTTGGTCAGGCCTAGCTCATTTTGGATTGGAGTGAAATGAGTAACTCGTAGAACATCTAACTAACATTCAACAAAAGAAGTTTACTTAACAGTAGCAAGGAAAGGATAATAAGCAATAGTACAAATCAGTCCATTTGGGCCCAGCTTCTTTGCTTCTGTATTTGCCATAGTAATGTGCCTGGTTAGAAACCTGTATCAAACCTGAGGATCCTCTGGCTTCCCATGCACTGTCTTTTGTATTTAGATAACAAGGACTATGAGTTGATTTGCCCAACTATTATTAACTAAGAACCAATTAACTGGTTTTTTGGAACATTAATTATGACTTTTTTTTGAGAGGCAATAGGGGTTAAGTGACTTGCCCAGGGTCACACAGGTAGTAAGTGTCCAAGGCCTGATTTGAACTCAGGTGCTTCTGATTCCAGGCCCAAGCTCTATCCACTGTGCCACCTAGCTGCCCCATCATTAATTAAGCCTCAAGGATAGTTTCATTACCTTTTAAGGAGAAACGAGCCTTGACTAAACGGAATAGGCGTTCTCCTATGATAATAACCTAATTTGCAGACTTCCTGTAACGTCACCCAATATGGAAGTACAGCCATGTTGGGGTTAGATAGCAAATATAGAAACAAAGAAAAGAGAATCGTCTGACATCTTCAAAGGAGAACGTAAGCTCTTTGAGGGGAGCAACGTCTCACTTTTATCTTTGGATCCTTAGCGCCCAGCACAGTATACACACTCAGTGTTTAATCAATGCTTGTTGACTTGGACAATGTTTAAGGGTCTTGATCTCCATTTCTATTGACCTTCTGGAATCAATTTCTTGTCTTGTATCTATTTTAATAAAATAAGTAGAAGCAGCACAGTGTAATGGAAAGAATGAATTTGGAGTCAGAGTTTGTGTCTTGGCTAGTATTTATTACTTGTTTGAACTTGGGCAAATCAACTCATTGCTCTGGGCATCCACACACATAGTGCCTTCTATGTGCCAGTTGCTTTACAAATATAATTTCACATGATCCTCATAATAAGCCTAGGAGGTAGGTGCTATTATTTTCCCTATTCTACAGTTGAGGAAACTGAGGTTAAGTGACTTGCTCAAGGTCACACAGTAAGTATCTATCTGAGGCTGGATTTGAACTCAGGCATTCCTAACTCTAGATCCAACACTCTGTATTTAGTCCTTGTATTTATGCCTGTACTTAGTGAGGAGTTGGACTAGATCAGTGGTGCAAAATTGAAGTAGAAATGAGGGTAGGGGCATACATAAGGGCCCTATATTGATTTAGAATTAACATCATGTTCAGACCGCTAAGTGGTACAGCGGATAGAGTACAGGGCCTAAAGTCAGGAAGACCTGAATTCAAATGTGACCTCAGATACTTACCAGTTGTGTGACCCTTGGCAAGTCACTTAACCCAGTTTGCCTCAATTTCCTCATCTGTAAAATGAGCTGGACAAGGAAATGGCCAACTATTCTAGTATCTTTGCCAAGAAAACCCTAGATGGGGTAACGAAGAGTGGGTCACAACTGAAATGACTGAGCGACAACATTATGTGTGTTCTATTGTAGTTTTATATATTTTGTTTAATAATTAAATTTAAATATTTATATATTTGTATATATATTCATGTATTTTGTTCATTAACTTCCCAATTACATTTTAATTTGGTTCTGCCCCACTTGGGAGTGTTGCTGCCTCATTGCCGCCTACCATTTTTGATACCTTTGGACTTAGATCATCTCAAAGGCCCCCTTGTAGCTTTAAATCAGATGTTCTCATGAAAAACCATACCTCACTCCAGAAAAGTTCAAAGCACTCCTAAGTATTTATCCTTTTGGTTATTACAACTTATTTGCAAATAACCCTCATTTAACAAAAAGGGAAAATTGAGACAAAGACAAGTTAAGGGACTTGCCTGAAGGCATATAGTCATTGCACAAGGAAAGCAGAACCAATTCCCTGATGCTGGGTCCATGCCAAGCCCTGGATAGTGCTGGTTTAGCTCTCTTGGAGCTATCCTAAAACACAATGTCTTCAGTGGAATAAACACTTGGACCCAGAGTCAGAAGATCTGGGTCCAGATTCCCACCCCACTGTTTCCTGTGTGATCTTGGACAAGTCCCATAACTTCCCTCCGTTGTACAATGAAAGGTTTGGGTTAAATGGCCCTGGTGGTCCTTTTCTAAATCATCAATCCTTTAAATGAATACTGGAAGAAGGAGGCAGAAGAACTGGGGTCCAGAAGCTGTCCTATTAATCTGCTTGGACACCTGGACCAGGTGATCTTTAGGGTCCCTCTGTGATCATGAGAATCGCATATACAATATGAAAACCGCAGCCAGTACAGATGCCTAAGGCTTTTGCAACTTCCACACCCAGATTGCTTGTGTCCATGTTTGGAACCGGAGCAACAACTTTGGGGCACTTGACGTCTCTGTGACTTCCAGACCTGACATTTTAGCTTCTCTTATTTTCTGTCTGCAGCGTGCCTCACAACATCAGACTGAGGGAAAATGAGAGGCTTCCACCAGGAACAGGCTGCTTGAATAATAGTCTGGAATTTTCAGGGGAACCCAAAAGGTAAATAGGTTAAGGGGGGTCTTTAAGTTCCTCTTTGAACAAGGCAGTTATTTTTCCCCCTTAGGGGCAGAACCCTGAACTTAAAAAAAAAAGTTGTATTGATGCTTTCTTTGTTCCTTCTAAAACCAGTATTTCTTGATATTCAACACCACAAGCCCCTATTTCCCCCATTGAACCTTCCCTTATCCCAAAGAAAAACAGTTAAATGAAACCGGGCAACATAGTTACAATACACAAAACATTCTGCAGCTGTATTCCGCCACTTATCCAAGGAAAAGACTGCAGCAAAAGATGATCTGATCTTTTGCATTGTAATTGATCTCACTGTCTTTTAAAAAATAAAACTTTAATGTTATAACAAGATTCCCTTGCCTAGAAGGAGTCTTATACATATCCACATGGATTTTAACAATGATAACTAAATTAAACAATAGTACCAGCTTTTTAATAGTCAACAAACATTTTAAATGCCTATTGATTGTGTGCAAAGCCTAAAGCTAAGTGCTTAGGGAGATATACAGTTTAGATAAGATAAAGTCCTTGCCTTTATGGAGTTTACAATCTAGTATCTGGATAAGACAGATGTTCAGTCATTTTTCAGTTGTCTCTGACTCTTCATGACCCCATTTGGGATTTTCTTGGCCAAGATACTAGAGTGGTTGCCATTTTCTTCTCCAGCTCATTTTACAGATGAGGAAACTAAGGCAAACAAGGTTAAGTGACTTGCCCAGGGTCCCACAGCTAGTAAATCCAGATTTGAACTCAGGAAGGTGAGTCTTCCTGACTCCAGTCCAGGTACTCTATCCGCTGCCACACCTAGCTGCCCTACCTACCCCACAGAGCTCAACAAATATTTGTTGGTCAGTTAGATTAGTCAATGTTGATACGAGTGATTTTGGAAGCATCATTTCCTTCAGTCATTATTAATGCCATAAGCAGTTGGTATTCAGGGATTTTTGTGACCACTTAGCTGCCCCCAAGTACCTCTTGGTAGATGCTTAAATGCTTGTGGAGTGAATTCCTCTTTTGCCTTAGACATCTTGATATGGCTGTCTTTTACATAGATAAATTGATTGTTTTTCACTTTGGAGGCTTGTTCTGCAGAGAGTCTTCCAAATTTCCAGGAATATAGGTATTTATAGGTAATTATAGAGGCAACTAGGTGGTAAAGTGGATAAAGAGCTGAGTCTGAAGTCAGGAAGACCCAAGTTCAAATTTGACCTCAGATGCTTGCTAGCTGTGTGATACTGGGCAAGTCCCTCAACCTCCCTGCCTCAGTCTCCTCATCCGTAGAAAGGGGAGAATAATAGCACCTGCCTCTCTGGGTTGTTGTAAGGATAAAATGAGAATATTCGATTCTTTGTAAACCTTAAAGTGCTATATCAATGTTACCTGTTAGTGTTAACTTACAAATTGCCCCTCGGTAACACTGATCTTATACACACCAGTCCATTGAAATAGTGTCCCTTAACACCTCTAGATCTATGAGCTATGCTAGCTATAAAGTGTTACTGTCTCTTTGATTTTAAGGTATGGTTGAACTGCTCAACAATCCCCACCTTTGCCTCATCATTGGTGACAAAAGGGTGAGTAGCAGTTTAAAAGTTTCTTAACAGGGTGGTTCAAAAATTCTTCCCGTAAAACCACTCCTTATGGCTTCTTAAAAATGATGTGCTACCCCCAGCCCTCTAGTGAAAGTATTACCCTTAACAAAGCATCCACGCCAGACCCAGCTGCCAATGAATTGATGGGGCCACAAAGTAAATATGCTCTGAGGGAAGGAGAGGAAACAAAGTCTTTTATTGTTTACCCATAGAAACTAGACTGGGGATTCTCAGTGATCAGGTCTAGTCAAGTGAAAACCAGCAGAAAGCCTAAATTTAGCACAGGAAGGGGCATTTGATCCAATCTTATTATTATTATTATTACAGAGGAAATAGAGGTGTAGGTTAACAAGAGGGAAAGCTAGGATTTGAACCTCCAACCTCTGATTCCTGAGTCTCTTTTCCACAGCAACATGGTGCTCCCAGTAGCCAGGACTTGCATGAGATTGGGCTATGTTGTTGTATTTCTCAGTATAACCTGCTGTCTAAGCCAAGGGCCTTTGGAGTTATGTAAGAGAAAAAAAAATACACATTCACAGCGTCGGCTTGTTCGCTGTGGCCATTTTTTTTTCTTCTGATGCTCATTCAGCACCATTAAGAATATACAAGTTTTTCAGAAGAGAATGGAATTTCTCATTGGCATCATTGAGTGCTACTAGGGTCCCAGTGGAGATTGGAGAGTTCTGTTGGTTCCTCTGTAATATTGTGTGTACCCTGTGATACAAGCATAGTGCCCTAGCACTTACACCAGGCAGCTGCCAGAAATTCTTCCTGTTGGAATTCATTAGCAGGTCCTGAGCACAGCTACTGTTTCTATACTTATTCACAGCCCCAACTATATATTCTATCGGCAACCCTTCCTCTCCCCACTCAATGTGACTCCTCCACAGTGGTCTTTAGATCCCAGAGGTTGGTGTGTGACCAAACACACCAGCCAGTGGCAACCACATCTGTACTTGAAGAGGGGCTGTGTTACTAGAAGCTTGATGACCTCATTACACTAGGCTGAGACATCATGCTTTTAAATAAGCTTGCTATGTGACCTGTAAGGCAGCTAGGTGGCACAGTGGATAGGGTTCCAGGCCTACAGTCAGGAAGATCTGAGTTCAAACCTAGCCCTAGATGCTTAAGTGTGTGATACTGGACATGTCACTTAACCTCTGTTTGCCTCAGTTTCCTCAACTGTAAGAGATAATAATAGCATCTACCTCCCAGGGTTGTTGTGAGGATCAGAAGAGGTAACTGTAAAGTGCTTGGCACATAGTAAGTACTATGTAAATGGTAGCTCTATTACTTCATGGCATGTCTGTTGCAAATACTACAATGACTTAGAGTCTCACTTTTCCTTCCAGGGTCTCTCATTGGTACCCTCTGTCTGAAACGGCATGGCTTGGGCAAGCATCGAGTCCTTCCTCTGGCTGTATTTAGGTGTTTGGGGAGGAGTCCCCAGACGTTTATCTCTAGACTGGGCTGTAACCAGAGAAGTTTCTGTGAAAGATTAAAACAAAGATAAAGAAAATTTACCAACAGAAACCTTCTCTGCCAACGTCCTCATACATCCTCATGTGGTTGTCAGATTTCTTGGGGCACATGTAGCTGTGGGTAAGAGCAGACATATTGGACTCAGGAACCAGAAAACTCTTGGGTCAATAAATGATGAGCCAAGTTGAATAATGGAGATTCCTTTCATGTGTGGATTGGACAAATGGCCAGTAAAGCCCTTTCAACTCTCAAATTCTGTGATTCTGTACATAAGGGAAAATTGGCTCAGGATGAATGTAAAATTTTATAATTGAGTTTAAAAAAATCAACATCCCATACACCAGATGGGGAGGCATGGTTAAATGGCAGCTTCTCTGAAAAAGATCTGGGTGTCAATATGAATCATCAATGTGAGGTGGCCTCTAATGAAATTAATGCTATTTTAGGCTTTTTTTTTTTTAATGCTTTAGTATCCAGGACAGGGCAGCTATGGTAGCTAGGTAGTAGAGTGAAAAGAATGATGGTCTTGGAGTCAGGAAGAACTGAGTTCAAATCTGCCTCCAATACTTTTTTGCTATGCAGCCCTGTGCAAATCACTTCTCCTTTCTCAGCCTCAGTGTCTTTGTCTGTAAAATGGGGGTAATAATAACACCTACCTCCCAGGGTTATTGTGAGGATCAAATGAGAAATTATCTGAAAAGCCTTGCAAACTTTAAATCTCTATGTAAAATGATAGCTCTTGTTAATGAGGCAGTCTCCATCATACTCTGCTATGGTCAAGCCACATCTGAATTATTCCGCTTTATTTGTGGCACTACACGTCTGTTATTCAGTCACGTTCAACTCTTTGTGACCCTGTGAATCACAGCACTCCAATGCTGTCCATGGGGTTTTCTTGATGAAGATACTGGAGCGGTTTGCCATTTCCTTCTCCAGGGAATTAAGTCACACAGCTAGTAAGTGTCTGAGGTCAGATCTGAACTCAGGTCTTCCTGACTCCAGGCACAGTGCTCTATCCACTGAACCACCTAGCTGCCTTATTTTAGGCATCTTCAAGATGTTAAGCTGAAACATGTCTAGAAAAGGGTTATCAGGAGATCAAAAGCAAGAGCGAACATGTTCTACAAAGATCAGTAGAAAAAAGTGGGGATGATTAGCCTCAAGCAGAGAAGGCTGGGAAAGAACCTAAGAGCTGCATTTGGAAGGCTGTCTTGTGAATGGGGATTAAATTTCACTTTGTTCCCGCCCAAGAAGCAGAACGAGGAGGTATTAGTGGAAATTGTAGAGAGTCAGATTTCAGCTTGATGTCAAAGGACTTCCTAGGTGACTGGAACTGTCCAGAAGTTGACCGGTCCACTTCACAAGGGTGGCAGGATCCTCCCCATTGAAGGTTTTCAGTAGGTGGTTGGGTGACTGCTTGTTGGGGATGCTCTGGTCAGGTTTAGGTTGAACCTGGTAATCCACAATATCTCTTCCAGCTTTTAGATTCTGTGGTGCCTGTGAATCATTTAAAATTCATCAGGCAGAGAGGGTAAGGACAAGAGAATCCTAAGTTTCTGGGTGGAAGGTCAACAGCAATTCCATAGGCTGTTGTAAAGGGTAGTAAGCCATGAATCTGATGTCTAACTAACAGTAATCTTGGCATTCCTGACAATGCTCACTGAAAACTGAATCATTGTGGCTGAGTTGCCACCTGTGACGGAGACTTATGTCACTGATTAGCATGGAACTCTGTCTCTTTGTTCTCTGTAACAGACCACAACTTTCTTTATAACCATAACTAATTCTCATACTCATCTCTTTAGTTTCATCATCTTAATAGAGGCCCCCTTTCACAATCTCATTTTGCAATTATGCCACAGTAGTTTTTTTTTCAGTCTCTTATTAATGCAAGATTTACTTACTTATTTCTGTCCATGTTGTATCTCCTCTATAGAATGTAAGCTCCTTGAGGGCAGGGTTTTGTTTCAGGGTTTTTTCTCCTTCCTTCCTTCCTTCCTTCCTTCCTTCCTTCCTTCCTTCCTTCCTTCCTTCCTTCCTTCCTTCCTTCCTTCCTTCCTTCCTTTTTTCCCCTATTAGCTATGTTGGTGCCTAAACACAATAGCCATTTAACAAATGTTGAACTGAATCAAAACATTTTCTAAATGTAGATTAAAGGAGAGATCACGTTGTTATTGTTGTTGTTCAGCCTTTTTCAGTTGTGTCCAACTCTTTGTGATCCCATTTGGGGTTTTCTTGGCAAAGATACTGGAGTGGTTTGCCATTTCTTTCTTCAGCTCATTTTACAGATGAAGAAACTGAGGTAAACAGGGTTAAGTGACTTGCCCAGGGTCACATAGCTGGTAAGTATCTGAGTCCGAATATGAACTTGTGAAGATGAGACTTCCGGACTCCAAGCTCTACTCTCTATCTACTGT